GGGGGGGGGGGGAGACCACTGACGACGGCTCCCCAAAGGCTCTTCGGTCTACCTGGTCTTGTCACTCGGTCATTTCAGGTTTCATCCCTGCCCTGATGGGACCGGCCTGAAAGCCACATGCCCAGGGGACGTGGCTCTGGTCCCCGTAGGCCAGCCTTCACGGAATCGCACGTGGGCGTGGTGCTCTCGTCTTGGTAATAAAGGGCATGATAGGAGGTCGTCGGCTGGACCGTCCTAACCACGCAGCTGTGCTCCCCGTAGGAACGTACGAGGAGCCGTTGGAAGAAGTTCTCTCACCCGACGGTGCCAGAAAAAGCTCTGCTTGCCCCGAGCGATGGGATTGGAGTTTCTGACTTAGGAATGTTTGGCCGCTGAGAAGCTTGGAGTCAAAGGAGGTCTTTAGGAACTCCCGTGTTCCCAGGGCTGTCCTTTGCCTCCGTTCCTTTTGTTTATTCAATTGTATTCATTTATGTCGGATACTTTACTTATTTTCATGGAAAAGGCAAACAAACAGAAAGTCATCTGAATCATTAGCAACCAAGGATGCTGCCCTCGTTCCAAACGTTTGTCCTCGCTCCTCTTTGGGGACTGCCTTAATAGCCAGACTAATTCGTACAAGAATCTGCACTGCAACCCAGAGTGGAATTAGTCACCTTGTCCTCCTGCCTGAGGTGCAAAAAAATGGAATATATTTGCTCTTTAAGAAATCAATTTAAAAAGCAAATTTACTCCCAAAGGGCAGAGATGAAAGATATTTGAACGCATGTTCTGCGGGCTCTGAAGGCAGGTCCAAGGGGACGTTCCAGGCCATTCTGGACAACAGGAGCCCCGTGGAATGGGGGCGGGTTCTCGAGGTCATTCCTGGGACAGGGGAGCCATCATTTGAATGGTCGAAGCGTTGGTGTGTCTGAGTGAATTTACGCTCAGTCACAGGTCTCCCCTCTCACACCAGGGGGCCAGCGTTGGGCTTGACAGGGTATTTGTCGTCGCCCTCTCTCCAGGCGGAGCCCAAGCCTGCGACGGGGGTGTGGGGCCCGAGCGGCATCACGAGCCCCCCCTCATTTTTAACCTGGAAGACGATGTTGCGGAAGCCGCGCCTCTGGAGCCGGGGAGCGCCGAGTACCAGAGCGTGCTGCCCGAGGTCAGGGGGGCCCTCGCCGACGTCCTTCACGACATTGCCGGTGACAGCGTCTCCAGGGCGGACTACACGCGGGACCCGGCGGCGGTGCCCTGCTGCAACCCCCACCAAACTGCCTGCCGCTGCCAGGCCGCCCGGCGGGCCGCCGCGCCCGCGAGCGGTGACCTCGGGGAGTGACGCGGGAAGGCCCGTGTCGCCCTCTTCCTAGCGACGGACGCTGTAGAAATTAGCCTCGGAATTCTGTCCGGAAGCCGCCCCTTTGCATCCCCCGCCGTCCCTTCTGCGTGCTGACTTGGGAGGGCAGCGGCCAAGAGGCGTCCCGGGAGGCGCTCGGCTCCCAGCCGGCCCAGGCCCAAGCCCGCTTTGGAACCGGGCCGCTCCTTGCGGCCTCGCGAGCGGACCTTGAGGATTCCGTAAGGCAGACCGGAGATGCCGGGCGCGCTCCCTGGCACTTGAAGCAGGCGCTCAGTATGTTTTCAGCATCTTATTTTTATTTTTATGCACCCATTTTAAATAGAGATTTGTGCCAACTGGTATCTAGAGCAGCGCTTCTCCATTTTTTTGTTGTGGGTGTTAATCTTCGCCCGAGGATATTTTTTCTATTGATGTTTAGAGAGAGTGGAAGGGAGGAAAGGAGGGAGGGAGAGAGAGAGAGAGAAACATCGATGTGAGACACACGTCGATTGGGTGCCTCACGCACGCACCCGACCAGGGCTGGGGATCGAACCTGCAACTCAGGTATGTGCCCTTGACCGGGAATCGAACACGTGACCCTTTGGTCTGCGGGCTGACGCTCTAACCACTGCACCACACCAGCCTGGGCTCCATCTTTCATATTCATACGAATCACCTGGGGGCTTGTGACAGAACCGATTCCCACCCGGTAGGTCTGGGTTGGGCCCGAGCTCCTCCATCTCTAGGCCGCCCCCGGGGGATGCTTGAGTGGCTCGGATGTTGACTAGACGACGTCAGGTGCTTCCAGGTCTCGGAGCAGAAGAGCCACAGGTACGTCCGTGGCCCTCCCCCCTCCCCACCCCTTTTAAAGGTCAAATAGGAGTCCTTCCTGCTTCCTAAAACTTCGAAGAAATAAACTGTCAGAGCCTCAAACATGCATTGCCACAATTTTATTATTATTAGTGTCCTAAATGGGACTCGAAGGTAGGACGTGATGTATTCCAATCACTGCAAAAACACCCTTCGCCTGGCTAAAATAGTCTCTTCTCTACTATGTAATATACAAGAAATACAATTCGAAGACATTTTCCTATACATACATTTTTTTTACACAGCATACATTGAAAAAGGATGCCCTTTTAATACAAAATTACGGTTATAGACCAATATGGTTATTAGTACTGACGTTATGGCTGTAACATAGTTTCACTAGCAGGATGCGTATACCGTGTCTCCCATTCCCCCTGGCGGCCGGGGCGGGGAGGGCGTGGTGAGCAGCGAGCCAGGTCCCGTGGCTCGAGCAGGCGGCACCCGGGGTTCCTGCCCCCCATCCTGCTCCCACAATCGCACGCCATTCTTCCACCTTCCTTGTTCTCTCCACAACCACCTGACAGGGGGTGTCCTGCTTTCTGAGGCGCGCTTCTCAGGACTGCTTCGCTTTGCCCTTCTGGCTCCCGCGGCACAAGATTATCTACCGAAATCAAAACAGAAGGGCCTTACTCTCCCCAGGAAGAGGCGGTTAAGCTGCATCATCCACAGGTCTGTGCCCGGGAGGGGTCGGCAGGGGGCGCTGGGCACACACGGCCGCAGGAATGCACTCGTCTCATGCAGGTGTGGACGAGCGTGGCACAGTTTCAGGAGATATTGACTATAAAATATTTGTATGTGTACTGATATGTATATGTGGGTTCTTAAAACAGGATCATCTTGTAAACACAGACTGCTACATCACTACTAAAAAGTCAGCCAATACCCTTGGCCCCAGGCCCCTGGCTCTTGCTCACAAGAGTGAGACTAGTGTCAGAAAACACACGGACTTGTAAAGGTTGGCTTGTTACCAACACAGAAGCTGCCCGCCTTCCTGAATACTGACTGCATCTCTCTGAGGTACCAGAGACGATCCAGTCTCTTCTCTTTCGTTATTCTAGGGGCAAAGAAAATCCCAAGGAGATAAGAGTCGTCATATCCAGGGATGTGTCAGTATTTTTTTTTTTTTTTAAAGACCACTGGTGATGACCCATGTTCTTAAGGCAAAGGCCCCAGAGCCTCTCAGGAAAGTATCCGGGGAAACCCACGGTCATGTCTACAGAAGCAATTTTAAATTCTGGGATTCTTTCACAGTCCTGGGTTTTTAAGGAATGTGAGTAGAGATGTGGATTCTGGACAGATATGTCTATAGCAAACACAGAATAATAAAGGCAGAGAGAGGAAGCTGTCTAGAATCTCCAGTTGGATGTTAATGCTGGTAAGGGCGTGACTGAGATGGTCCTTGTTGGGAGAGCATCCCGGTAGCACTCATGTCTCTGGTCCTCGTGCAGTGAGATGGAGAAACCTGCCTGCCACGGTGTCAGAGTCTCATGGGAGCAGGGCCCTCTTCTGTCGTCTGCAGGTGCGAGGCCGGGCTGGGGTCTGGCGCCCTCGTGACGCCTGCCCCCGGCTCTGCCCACAGGCTGCCTGACCCTTGCTGGGGGCTGACAACCGCTCTAGGGAACCTCACTCGGTGACCTCACAGCCAAGGAAGGTTTCCTTATATATGAATAAAAACCCCGGACATAAACCAACTCTCAGCCCTTTGGTCCTCAAGAGGGAGAGCTTCCTGGCAGCGCACAGGCCAACAGGCCTCGGCGCTAGTTCTTAAGCATCTCCAATTTTTTTTTTCATTCCAAACAAATGCTCTACACCGCATGCCTATTATTTTATACAGGTTTTCTTTGGCAAGGGACCACCTCCTGCATGCTAGTATCTGAAACACCTGGATCTTATAAATTTAAGAGGTTAGGTAAGGTCTACTCTGATTACAGTTAAGAATTTAATAACCTTTTGTAGCTGTCACAGACTTTTACTAAAATCACAGAAAGGGAGCCTAACAGTTGCCTTTATCCCCAACTGCATCTGACTTGCTCTGGTTCCTGGAAGATGCAACTTCAGGTAAATAACCACCAACTTTTGGGTGACAGAAAAACTCCCTTTACGGTTGGCTCGGGCAAGAGAACCCAAAGGCAAAACAGCTGGTACATCGGGAGGCAGCCAGCCAACAGAGGTTTTTAAATGTGTAATTAGTATTTTTAAGAACCACTGCTTTCCACCCCCTTGTTGGCAATGTATTTGGCGATCTGCCTACCAAAAGCCAGAATGTAAATCTGTAATCCATGGAGTCTCTATGGGAGCTCCCACAGCCCTCCAGTCATGTGCAAGGGCCCCACGATACCTTTTTTTTTTAAAGCTGACTGTGCTTACTAGGTTGTCCTGTGGATCTATACAAGCAAAAAGCCAGACTTGCAAGCCATCCTTCTGCAAACGGAATCGCAACTGATACAAAGTACCGGTCAGGGGGAAACATTAGACACCAGGACCTAACAACCTGGAAGCAGCACCCAATGGCCATGGCTCTGCCTCCAGGAGGGCCACTCGGTTGACTCTCCGAGTCTCAGCCCAAACACTGCTTCTGTCTTCAAATGATTTCAGGTTGACTATCTTGGCTGTTCTCTAACTGCAGCTCACAAAAGGCGTCTCTACGTTGCCCTAAATGGAAGCTTGAAGAATCGGAAGCTAAGGCAGCCACAAGCAGCTACCCGGGGAGAGAATCTTCAGTTCAGACAGGGATGCTGGAAGAAGCCAAGCCCAGCCCCCAGCCAGCCCGGGGCCCTCGCTGCCAGCCAGCCGAAGCAGGAGGCCGGGACACCCAGCTGGAGCTGCCCAGGGGAGCCCTCCACACGGCCGTTAGCTAACAAGGGCTGTAGCTGCTGCAGAGGCTGGGGTCTGCCCTGTCAGAGCCGGACGGGCTGAGGGTCCTGCTCGCCCGCAGAGCGCACCTGCCCAGCCCTGTTAGATGACTTCTTTAGTCCAAACACGGCGGCGTTCTGCAAAAGCACCCTTAGGAGCCTCACGAAAATAAGAGTGTGCCCAGGCAAAAGTCCCTACCCTAGAAGCAGCCAAGATAGTGCTATGGAAGCAAAGTCAAGGGCTCCAGGCCCCGGAAGGAGGCGAGCGAGGCCCCTGAGACTCCCTGGATTAGTATCCGTTACTCTAATGCTGTTGTGTTGAGAGCAACCCCTAGTGGCTAGTCTGTGGAATTGGCAGCGAACAGCGCGGTAAACACTGTGGCCTTCTGAGTGTCAGGGAGGGGGACCAGTTGTCCTAACTAGACGGCGGGAAAGGGCCTTGGCCTCCTGCATGAGGCGGAGGTTTCCCTTGAAGCACACAGACTGAGCCGCTCTTTTAAGGGTTCCTAATGCTCACAGGAGGGAATTCATTCTCATCGTCGAGACACACTGGTCCCGTGGCAAACTCGTGTTCAGGAATAACCTCTCCGCGGAGCGCCCCGCCGTCCTCGGAGTACCCTGGAAGCCAAGAAGGGGGCGTGAGAGAGGCCACAGGGTCCCTTCCTGTGCCACAACCCCGGGGCAGGACCTCAGAAAAAGGGAGGATCCGGGGAAACCACGAGGCCACCTTTGCCCTTGAGTGAGTCCAAATTCCCACCATTGATGCCTCCGAGGGGCGGATGAGCTGCTCTTACCCACCCTCCACCCAGGTGCCTAGAACTTTCCACTAGTTTGCAAATTCTCAGCGGCGGAGCGTTAACTTGTTAGGGAACTGGGCCTGTGGTGGGGTGCCTGCCAGGGTCAGGGTCAGGGACCTGCATTTAGAGGCTGGTCCTGTGGCCCGTGCGGTTCCCTCCCCACGTAACAGTGGAGGGGAGGAGAGGGGCACTGTCAGCATGTGCCCCACGTCAGCTCACCTGGCACAGTGGAGGCAGAACACGCGCTTGGTCTGGCTACAGTTGCCGCATAGGACTGAGGTAATGAAGGTCCGAGGTCATTTTCTTGAGTCTCGCCCACCGTTCCTGAGCCAAGCAACCTACAAGCAGCAGTGCAGAGGGACGGGAAGAGTGGTCAGCGCGTGTTCAGGGCGCCCGGGAGGAGCGGCGCTGGGGGCTCAGGCTCGGCCACTGGTTTCCAGGGGAGCCCTCTCAGCGCCCTGCAGGGTCGGTGTGGACCGAGGGACCTCTATGGCCAGGGTCAGCCCCGCAACTTCACAGTGACCCCTCTNCCCACCGTTCCTGAGCCAAGCAACCTACAAGCAGCAGTGCAGAGGGACGGGAAGAGTGGTCAGCGCGTGTTCAGGGCGCCCGGGAGGAGCGGCGCTGGGGGCTCAGGCTCGGCCACTGGTTTCCAGGGGAGCCCTCTCAGCGCCCTGCAGGGTCGGTGTGGACCGAGGGACCTCTATGGCCAGGGTCAGCCCCGCGACTTCACAGTGACCCCTCTTATATTTAATAAGGGAAGGTTGGCGCTTGGCTTTTCAAGGTTCACTCGGGCAAGGGCGCCAAGACGGGCTTGCCAGGGCGCTCCATGGGGGAGGGGCAGTGGCAGCTCGGTGTCCTGTCCGCCGCAGGGAGAGGCCATCCTGGACTGGATCACAGAAGTCAGGAGAACTTCTCAGCTCTGCCCAGTAAATGTTTCTGAGCAGCCGTCATGCCCGAGGAGGAAGACGTTTTGCTTTGCGTTCACCCTGACCCTTCCCCAGAAGCCTACAGCATGGTGAGGGGGCCTAACACTGAGCCCCACTCAAGGCGGGTGCCCCCTAGAGGTTTGCCACAGAGATGGCTGGTAAACAAAGAAAAGGGCACTGAAACTTGTCACTGTTGTTGGCCAAGTGGCAACTCGACACAACCAGCTGTTGAAAGGCTATCTTTAAAAAAAACCAACAAAACTTTTTTCTTGATTTTAGCGAGAGAGGAAGGGAGAGAGAGAAACATCAGTGTGAAAGAGAAACACTGATCAGTTGCCTCCCACATGCACCCCGACAGGGATCAAACCCGCAACCTAGGTATGTGCCTTGACTGGGAATCGAACCAGTGACCTTTCAGTGCACAGGACAACGCTCAGCCAGCTGAGCCACACCAGCCAGGGCGTGAAAGGCTGTCTTTTTGAAAA